GCTTCGCGCCGGAGAGGCTCCGCTCACCGTCAGCCAGAGCTCGGGGCAGCTCGGACAGCCGCTTCGCTGTTTCAAGTAAAGTCACTCCGGCTGGCCAGCCTTTGGGCGTAACTGAAAACCCACAACGTGAGAGGGAAAACTTGCTTTCAGAAGGATATTTTCTTTTTAAACTTTTTTTTAAAAGATTTATTTATTGATGCACACAGAACTGGGGTTCAGGCCAGAGGCTCAGGGGCGGCGAGAGGCTTCACCAGAGACAGAGGGGAGCAGAAGAGGCCGGCGGACGGAGCCCACCGCTGAGGGGAGCAGCGGGCGGTCAGGACGGGTCTGCCGGCCCTGCGGTCACCACCCGGTGGGGACCAAACTCGCGCTGAAGCGAGGCCCCGGAAGGATATCTCCAACTGAGCCTCGGCCCACCTCGGTGGCCAGCCACGGTGGGAATGGGAGGCCACGCCCGGCCCGCGCCTGGTTCAAGCTGGGTGCGGCACAGCGGCCCCTTGCTCCGGGATCTTCCGGAAGCAGGGAGGGGAGAGGCCGCGCCCCGGCCGCGCCCCCCGGCCCACCCGCCTCTCCCAGCCCTCTGCTCCACACCTGCCGGCGCCTCCGGAAACCCATCACGCAGCAGCACCGCACGATCCGCCGTGACCCCGCGCCCTGCGTCCGTCCCCAGCCTCCACGCGCCCCACACGGCACACAGCGGGCTCCGACCCCCACCCCCTCCCGCGGGACGCCTGCAGGGGTGGCCACGCCGCGGTCACACATGACCGCCGGCGTCTGGCTGGGCCAGCACTAGCTCCGACCTCCCGAGGGCAGCAGGCCCTCAGGCCCAGGCGCGCCCACTCGCGCCAGGCAGCGGCGCCAGGCTGGAGGCCCCGCTCCCGCCCCGCCGGCACCCGGGCTCTGCTCAGAGCCACCGTGGCCTGCGTGTCTGCAAGAGAAACGCACCCGTCTGCTGGCTCACCTCCTCCTTCTGGCTCTGCTGAGACTTCCAGGGCTCCGCGAGAAGCTCCCCGGCGGGCCCAGGCCACCCCGGGTGAGCGTCAGCCTCCATGTCCCGGTGAAGTGCCAACCTCGCTAGGTGGCACAGGCCCCGGCTCTGGATGGCGGCCCGGGCCTGACGCCGCCACCCTGTGCCCCCCAGACAGCAGCCGCTCCCCCAGGCCGCCTCACGGCAGCGTGCGCGCAGCGACGGGCTGGCCACGGTCACTCGGCCCCGGCAGGCAGCGCCCGTGCAGCCGGCCTGCGACCAGGGCCCAGACCTGCACGGGGGTGCCCCCCGGTGGCAGAGGGAGGGGCGCGGCCCCCACACGCACGTTCCGTGGGGCTGTGCTGTGAGTTCCCCGCGGCGCACCACCAGCACGGGGCAGCTGAGCCTTTGGGCCCCAGCTCGCCCCAAACTTGTGGGCAGCGTCTCCCTGGGGCTGGTGCCCCTGGCGTCGAGACTAGCTGATCACAGCGCCCGCTTCCACACCTACACAGACGCGTGCAGGCCGGCCACGGAGGTTAATTGGGGGGCCGGCTGGACGCCCACCGCGCCAGGTGACAGTGTCCCCACAGACGCCACGCGGGGAGCGGCCCCGTGCCGACAGGGCGCTGCCGTTCAGGACGCCGCGTCCCGGGGAGGCCAACGGTGCTGAGCGCAGCGACGGGGCCATCGTGACGGTTAAAGGTCCACCGAGTAAGGTGACCCCGAAAACGCCTGGCCCGCGTTCCCCGCTTAGTGGCGGCAGGGCAGTAGCGGCTCGCAGGACTCTGGGGGGCGGGGTGCAGGGACGGAGGCCTCCCCGGGCTGGGGGACCTGCAGGCAGAGGGGGTGATGCCAGGCGGCGGGGCACAGCGGGCTCTCTGGGCCTCGGGTCTGCACGGGGAAGCAAGAGCCACCCGCACCTACACCACGGCACCCCGCTGGGCCTCGAGTTGCGGCCTGCCGTGCACCCCGCCTGCTTGGGGGCGTCAGCGCCACGGCCAGGCCGGCGCCGCCCCTGCCAGGCCCCGCAGGCAGCCAGCCAGATCCCCCGTGACCCGACGCCGGCTGTGAGCGAAACTGGCCCTGGGAGCGGCGCCCGCGAAGGGCCAAAGTCAGAGCCGAGCGAGATCAAACGTCACGCTGGTTCGGAGCACGTCGTCCGCGGCTGGAAATGGTAAACCTCAGCGTCCAGAGTCTCGGAGGTCTTGACCACGGTTTCCGGAGAGGCAAGGCTGGGGGTGGGGGGCGCCCCGTCCTCTACAATACATGGGGCTGTATCTCCTGCAAATCTGATTTTTTAAATCAAGCCCCCCCAAAAGGGAAGAGGAAGTAGTGCAAAAAGCTCTAAAAATAAGTCAAGAACTTTGGCGGAAGGAAGGGAGAAGAACCGTGATTCCCTGCTCTCCAGAGCGCAGCAGGGCGGTTTCTAGACGGCAGCTCGAGCTCGAGGCCTTGGACAGCACCAGCTGGGCCTCAGGGAAGGCCTGGGCGCCTCGGGCCTCCTGCCGCGGTGCCAGCCGCCGGCCCCAGCGCTGCTGCCCGGGGAGAGGTACGGGGCGGGGCGGCAGGAAGGGCCGGCGGGCCTGGCCCAGGCGGACGCGCTCGGGCAGCCGGAGGCACCCGGCAGAGCCGGCACGGCCCGCTGCGACCGGCCCCTTTAGCGGAAGGGCCCAGGCCCGGCGCAGCCGGACGCTCCCTGCCTCTCCTCGACCTCCACCTCCTCGGCCTCAGAAAGGCGCATCTGCCTGGCTTTCAGCTCTGTCCTCCTGTGGGCCGAGGCCACGGCCGCCACGTGTGCGCCAACGGCGGTGGACGCCTCGAGGCCTGCCCTGCGCAGGGCTCCCAAGGGCCAAGGCTGCCGACTCGGGCGGCCAAGGGAGCCTCCACACCCCCTTCCCGTGCTCCCCAGACCCATCCCCTCCATCCCCCTCCATCCCCTCCATCCCAGCCCACTGGCCGCCTGCCAGCCCAGCCCCAGCAGCGGGCCTCTGGCTCCGCCGGGACCAGCCACGTCGGCCACCCGGAGCCCACGTCCCGCAGATCCGTGCCTCCTCTCCCCGTCCCCGGTCACGCGCACAGCCAGGCCGGCGTCTCCCGGAGGCTGACGCGGGGCAGGCAGTGACCAGGGGCCTTTGAAGGGATAACGGGGTGACAGGCCTCCGACAGCAGCTGCGCGGGTCTGTGCTGGGGCCTCTCCCGGACCAGCAGCACAGACCGACCCGGGGCACGAAGCCGCTGGCCAGCACGGCCAGGCAGGCCGGACAGCACAGATGCGATCCCCCAAGGAGGCAGGGCGCCACGTCAGGAGGGAGTGTCCTGCACGGGGCCCGGGTCACTAAGAGCACCCGGCCGTGGCTGGGGGACGGGAAGGGAAAGGGGGCCTTCCTCCTGCCTGGGGGTGTCACTGTGGGTGGAGACCCCGCACGCACGGCCAGGACTGCCTGCGGTCACCAGGGAAGCTGCTGCAGGACAGCCCGATGGCCCCCTGAGACCCCGGCCAGCGCGCGCCTCCCCAGGCCCTCTCGGGGGGTGAGCTGGGGACACGCTCGGCAGAGCAGCGTCTGGAGTGAGCGAGGCGGCCCGGCTGCAAGAGCAGCGCTCTGGCGCAGGGCTGGCGGCCCGGCGGGGGTGGGGCCGGGGCCTCGGCGGGCGCGCCGTCCTGGAGACCCGGATTCCAAACGCAAGGCGGCCTCCCATCTCCAAGTTGCTTCCACGGCCGAGGGCCACGCATCTCATGCTTG